GTTATTTTTAAAGTTATTTATTTTAAGATTATAGAATACGATGGATTAAATTATATTATGCTAAAAAGAATACATTTGAAAATGTCATTGTCTATATAGGTACATTATACAACATAGCAATGTGTACTTTAAAAGTTTCAAGTACTCACAATCAAATATATAAATTTCAACAAAATAACTAAAATCATTATGACTTATCATTTACTGTTACTGAAACACTAACTACTATAGTATCTATCTAATAAACAATTATATTTTCGATTTTAGTAATTAATTACCMTAATAGTTGCATAATTATATAGATACTTGCTATATAGTAAAGAAATTGCAAAAATGTAAAATAATTCAATGTTATTTACTTTGTGATAGTTATTTATAAAATTATAAACTTACCAACATAATATAGTTCAACACAAAAAACACTTACGATTGGTGTAATATAAACCTGTACACGATTATATTTCATGTCGTTGTCATCGTCGTCGCGATCATTGTGTCACCCCCCACGACGAGTTGATACACAATTATGGCAAGATACTCTACATTTTTCACGGTTGAATATAAGTTTGCTGCACAGTGCACAATATTATACTTATTCTGTTATTCAACTGTATACTTATTATCAACTTATTTATTATATGGCGTTAGSCCAGACAAGACTGTTTTCACTCCGTGACGAATATTATTGAATGACTTGGATTAAGTGTGGATGGTATAAAACTTAGAAAGTTATAAAGAGTAATATTTGTTTCAAAATCATGTCTATTTATTTATATTGTTGATATTTTAGAACGAAATGAAAGCTAATAACTATCATTATTTTTTTTAATCATTATTATTAGTTAAGTATTATATTTTATTTTAATGATTTTGTTTGTCATATTATAATCTATAAAATAGGTATAGGGCAACTAAAACCACTACCATCCTAATTCGGACATTTTCAATCCTCAGTACGACGGATTCCAAATACATCTACACACACTAATGATACTATTCATTTCAGCTACAAACACAAAATAACGTAAAGTGTATTAAGCAACACATTGCCTATACAAAACCCCTAAATAAATCACCGCTTTCAATCCCCTTAAAATAACATTTCTGGCACGCCCCTGAACGGTTCACAATATATTATAAAACCAGGAACGAGATAAATGTATTTTTTACTTCCACCATTAATTGTATTTAATAGAAAATACGTATACCTACTATGTTTTTGTACATGGTATCAACACATAACAATAAAATATATTCATACGTCAAAAAGATAAATACATATAGTGAGATATTATTTTATAAAAATACAGAATATTACAGAATATTATTACAATAGTCACGTAATTAATCGATGTTTAAAAGTGATACAAGAAAATGCATTGGTAGTTAATATTGCCTAAGAAAAACATATTGTCCTATATTATCACCTAAATCTTATTTAACTGTTATTATAACATACATGCGCGTGTAACTCGGTTAATATKAGAAGTATATCCAGGTATCTACTATCTACTAAATATAATAATTTGTTTAACGGAGGTCACTTATAATTAAAAATTATTCATTTTTTTGAAATATTTTTATTTACTTTTTTGAATTATAATATACAGTTTTAATATCATCTTCGAAAGCAGAATATTTTTCTAAGTATTTCGTTAYATAAAAACAGAATTCAGGATGAATCATCTATGAGTTACTAGAACCTAATTTAAGTTTAGATAAGCAGAGTAGTGGACAAACAAACATTTTGCGGGATAACCGCAATCACTCCACTCCGCGCATAAAAACATTAAATAATATTATAATACTCACAAATAATTCGTACTAAATTCGTTTTGTAAGTATCGAAATACTTTCGGGAAATATTCTGTCATAAAATTGAAATAATATGTTTTCAATAAAAATTAAGCAATTAAAAACAATTTTTGGGTAAAAAAAAATATTTAAAAAGGTGTATTTTTCAAATGTCGATTTTGACTACCTAGTATAGAAACTATGTAAATTATTTTTCCAAAAGTATTTAATATACTTTGTTCAATGACAGAATAATCAGTTGGTATATAATATATTATATACCTATATACGTATCATCCATGGATGACGAAGAGCCAGATAATATTTCACCGTTTAACAAGACATGTGAGATAAACTATAATATAATAGGCGCCTACGAGATATAATATCATATAAATCTATTATGTTATAATATACTACTTTTAATACGGAAACAAGTTGGCGAACGATTTAACATATAATGATAGGTTAAGTTAATAGAAATATTCCTCTAGTGAGCATAAAGTAATTTATGAGGTTTTAATATTATTATCTATAATAAATTATTAATTAGTACTCAAATATTTGGTAAAGAAAAAAATTTTAAAAATGATATTAGTATTTTATTATTATTGCCATTTTGAAATCCCGAAACGTTAACACTTTTTTTTTGCATTTCTGTAATTTCTTTTTGTTTGTTTTATTTTAAGTTGATATAACTAAAAGTGGTAACTAAATTTTCTGTGCCCGAGGAAATAACCTGTCCAAACAATATTAACTCAAAAATAACTGTAATTGTAATGTTGTCCATTGGAAAAATAATACATAGATTGACATTGATAAATGCCTGTATTGTATGATAATAATTTTTAAGCCAATTTTCGATTTAGTTTGATTTGAATACCCTTCCKTTATTGTTTTTGATTACCTATTTTAATATGCAATAGGTAATCAGTAAGTCGTGTAAAAATACAGGCCTGCGTACAAGTCGCGTTCAGTGTTTAAAATTTCCTAAGCTAAATGTTATATTAATATAATTATATAATACATTTTTACAACTGACCAAGAATATTTTTAATCTATGTTAAACCCTACTAGAACGACCCATTCTTCAAATAAAAATTGACCGTCAGTATTTTACAATTAAATCATTCTGCCTACTACTTTATAACTGTATATATAACGCTTAAAATACCTATCTATATATAGTGTGGAATTTATTTATCGAGTCCATAAAATGCTGAATAAACAAATCAGTAAATAATTAAATATTATGATTGTATTATATAACCTTATAACTTTCAATTATTGGTATCAAAATTAAATATTTATATTTATTGAAGTCTTATTTCTCTTT